CCCCAAAACCCCAAAACCCCAAAACCCCAGTCTGCAGAAAATAAATTGAAAATTTAATTAATTCAATTATAATAATAAAATGGAGAGTGAAAATAAAATTACCCAAGAAAATCATGACCAAGCCATCGGGTAAATTTCATAAAGTGTTGAGTTTCTTTTAAAATTTAATGACTCAAATTATTTGAAGATATTTAGAATGTATTTATGCCTTTGAGAGTATCAAGTTTCTCTTATTTTATAAACTTAGATAATCAAGATAAACTCTTGTGTTTCTATAATATCTCAGTATTACCAAACAATAGTCTTCTGTTTCTAATTCCATCCTAACTTTTCATATCAATATTAAAATTTACACTTTGTTAATTAAAGCTCATTACAATATCCTGAAGTTAAAGTAATTTTCCAAGTCCAAAAGAAATTGGCACTCTTACTTTACTGAGGGAGTTCTTGTTTGTCACTCTATTATGCTTTTTACAGCTCACAAACTAGGAGTTTTATTCCATTTTAAATCCAGACTCATCTAAAGCTTTGTCTTAATCTATTTCCAAATTCTGACATTTATCTGACTCCTTAGTTCACCTTTAATTGTGTAGTCTAGAAAAGTCTATCCTGGTCGAAAGCATCAAGCAACAATATCAGAGATGTTGCTGCATTTACTACAATACACATTTAAGAGAGATCAAAGCTAAACTACCCGATCCAGAATCTAATAAACACTGAGTAAACCATCAGCTTCAAATTGCTTTTGCACTTCTTAGATATATGAACCTTATGAAAAAATTAAAGCTTCTAAAATTCTCCAACATAAAAAAGGCAGGATTGCATATTGGCAAAATGAGAAATTAAGCATATTCTAAATTTCGTAGATTTCTCATTGCCCAATAAAATGGAAGAGTTAGATGTTTATCTCACTTTTGAAAAGAAACTGAATAGAGCTACTTACTTTAACTCATTGGTCAGGATCAGCTCTAAAGTAACCCGAAGAGTGGGATTCCAATTTTTCTGTCTTAGCCTTAACCAACTGAAGAGGTTGGTGGCAGCTTACAGACATGTGAAAATATTGGATATTTGGGATTGCAAGTTGTCCATTCCAACAGTTCCTGATTTCTCAAGGGCTCTTCAAAATTGCCAAGTTCTGGAAATTAGTTTATCAGGGACAGGATACTATTATCACAGCAATTGGAAGGATCACCCTGAAGAGTTCAAAAACTTGATACAAGGATTCGCAACATCTTCAGATTTAAAGTTGAGTCTCAGAAAAGTAACAATTGAGGATTGTGAAATAAAGAAAAGTGAAGCTCAAAAAATCTTTGCAGAATATCAATTCGAAGGTGTAGAAATAACTGATGTATCTTAATCTCCTAAAAGAATTGTTGTTTCTTCTTTTATTTTGATAAACACGAAAATATCTGTAACAAAAAATTGTTAAATAAGTTTTGGGTTTATTGTGAGAACCTATTAATCTGATTTTAAAAATAGAAATTATAAATTTTGCAACTACAATATATCCTGAAGTAAATTTTTAGAGCGATGAAACTGGGAGTTGCTTATAGACCAAGAGTATCACTATAGCGAAAGCATCAATTTCCAGTATTTCATATCTAGTGCGTTTTATATATTATTCAAAGCTTTTAACCTATCTGCATATTGTTTTTATTGTCTTAGAATACGTATAAGATATCTTTAATTGATGGTTTAAAGAATAGTTGACATTCTCATCTGTAAAATAGTTTCAAATGTTGTAGTTGTACTTTTTGAAGATAAACATATAATAAAATTCTCATTATTGAATACTTTGTTCTGATAAATTTCATAAACTTTGTAAAGTAGTATATCTTATCCCTATTAGGGTAAATTCTATTGTTTGATAGATGTTTGCCATAAAATTAAATAATTTTCATTATTTAAAACTTTGAAAATGCTTAAAATCAGGTTTTCTTTTCTGGGAAGAATATCTTTACATAAAAGCTTCTTCATAATAATGTTAAACTTTGATCCAATCTACTATTTTTTGTGAGAAACCAGATAAATATAACAAAACTCTAAATTAAAAATATGCTCTTATAAGAATAATTTTAATTCATAATGAATTTATTAAAAACTGCTCAATTTTGCAATTAAAATATTATACTACTCAGGAACTTCTCAAAATTTAACATTTTGAGACCTATTATCAAAATGAAAGAGTTTAGTCCCAAAACTTAGTGCTTCCTCTCTTACAGTTAAAATTTCAAACAAAAAAGATATTTTAATGCAAAGTTATACAAACAGCTAGAATATGCTTATTATTCAAAAGATTTTATAAAGCTACAATACCAATACAGTACCTCTAATTATTTCTCTTAGAAGAAGAAAGTAGAAGAAATTGTGGCGCTTTCTCGCAAACTACTGGAAGTTACTCTGCCTCCGGTATTCTGTTATGCTCTTACTGGGGTTTACTCTGTAACAAGAATGATAACTCAAGCCTAAGGTTACCATAGATATCAGAATAAATATTGGAGTAATAATGAATGGAGAGTTCGGCCTCCTAGATGAATGCAGATAATATTCAACCCTTCGAATAAAGCTATCCCTAGATTAGAGGCGCCTTGATATACTAAAGCGTTCGATATCTCTTTTATAAATTGTACTTGCTATACAACATTTCCTAACTTCCCCAAACCTGAGGTTACAATCAACCCAAATTTCAAATTTTAGAGTCTCCGAACAAATATATCCATCCAATATTGTCCTTCAACCTTCAAAATTATGTTGGGGTTTTGGGGTTTTGGGGTTTTGGGG